ATTCAGATGTTGATTCTGTTCCTTTTAATAATTGTTGTGTTAAGTACAAAAGATAAATTTAATGATACTCAGACTAAATATAGGAGCGAATAGTATCTTAGTTACCAGTTAGATGGTTAGACCTAAAAAGCTATACATCATCTTACGATTCAAAATCGAATATCAGAAAGTCATATCTGTATTATTGTGATATTTTATTTCAAAATCTCAATGATTACCAACATAGTATATATCGCAATTACCATAACATAAATGTTTTGCTAGATCACTTTTTGTTATATAATTACCGATTGGAAAACCATATGAACAATTTTCACTATCTATCCGATCGTCTTTATAGCAGAATGTTACTGGCATATTATCAACAGTCCAATGTTGTTGATAATTTAGTTTACTGCCTTTCATTAAACGTTTTAATAGTTTTTGCTGATCAGAATCATTCGCACTGTAATTTTTTATGCAAATTTGTTTGCATTCTTCATTTTGAAGAAATCTGAACTAAAGACATAATAGAAATTATAATTTTTTGTTTATGTTAAAAATATTTTGAAACATTTTTGATCCTACTTTATATGGTGACGGTCGTATGGCAAACAGCACTTGTTCAAAATTTTCAGTTAGTGAACTTTCATTCTCTTTGACCTCGCAAAAATCAAAACTAAAAATGAAATATCGTAATCAGAATGTTTTAACAAAGAATTTATAATCATTTACTAACTATAGTCCTAGGATAAACTAGATACAACTGAATCTAATCTATGTACAAAAACTTCGACTTGTGTCTAAACAGAGTTTTAGATTAACATCTAAAATCATAACTTGATCAAATATATTGTTTACCTTGCATCTTGGACAATCCCTTAGATATTGTGAATACTGTTTTGGTTCGAAATCACTGTTTATTAATGTCACAGATGATAATAAAATTAAAAATGTGTTTGAATAAGCGAAAGTTTTCATTGAATATTATCTGAAAGATATTTTATAAAAGAAATGAATTATCGTTCATGTATTGTTGTTTATTTAGTTGATGATTCATGTTTCATAGCAAAAAACATGTCACTTTGCCTTATGGATGGTTTTCAAGGGAAGGGTGGTTAAAGGGAAAATTCGTCAGTCAGAATTCTAGATATGCTACCCCTTTTCTTGGACAACTCTTAGTTTTTGAAAAAGCAACGAAAACCTGTTTTTGCTTGGAAACTAGCGCTTTTTATTGTGTTCTCCCATTTTTTCTCCGTTCTGAATATGTTCTTTTTTTTCTCTGATTTCTCTTATTTTCATGTGTTATCAGAATGAACAGGCAGAACGAAAAAGAATATTCTTGTATAGTTTGTATTGAACATGGATTTGTACAAACAGCTACACTTTAGTGTCAATGTTCATTTACTCTTCAACGCAGAAAATCTCCCACTATGAATTTAATGCATTGAATAGCTAAAATGCACTGTTTCGAGTTCAGCTCTGGCAGTTTCATTAGGAAAAGTAAAATAAACAACGTCTTGAACAATCCCAACAGGCAAAATTTGGATACATGTTCATACTAACTAAACTGAATATTCTATGAAAATAGTGTTTGTTCTTCTCGTATATTGAGTTATCTCTTAGTATCTACTATCACGATCCAATGCTATTTGGTCCTCAACGAAGGAGTATGGAGGTTTCCAGAAATATTTGCCGAAAACCTTCAAAAGCTCTCACTTTTCGAAGAAATTTTACTTTTCGATAAAAAAGTAAATCCAAAAATACTTTCGATAACACCAGAAAATAGAGCAAACATTTCGGATCAAAATGAGTTATCTCCGAGCTCTGAATGATGTTCTGGTCAAGAGTTATGAGAGTTTTATTGGACCGAAAAAGAACTATTTTCTTATTGGTTTTCAAAAGTTGAAATGTAGTTATTACTACGAACAAAAATACTGTCGCAGCCAAAAGTCTCTCACCACCCTTCTGTTTTTATGGTCTGAAATAAAGATAAGAGTTTTTATTCGTATTCATCAGTATTCTTACTCTGTTGATCATACTGTGTGAGTCTGCATATAGTTAGTGTGTAGAAACAAATTCAGGTATGCAACATTACAAAGTGTTTTTTCATCTTTCATTTGACTAACTTACATTTATAATTATACATAATTCACAGCGTCGAGGTGCGTCTCCCGTACAAATCCTATTCACTGTTTTGTTTTGCTTACGCGCCTGGTATAGAACTCTTACTGATCTTTCGAAAGATGTTCAAAATCTTATCACATCTTAATAATAGCTTACGACATGAGCAATATAGTCTTGCGTAGTCGCGTTGCGTGTACGCCATTCGTCGGCGTTCGCGGTAAAAATAGCGTATCTCATTTACTGGTATTAGACGGCAAACGCGAATAAGTAGTAACTATAATAAAATACTTGAGAGTCATTAATTTTTGTATGAGGGCGAAGAAATAGCGAACGCGTTACGCGATCCTGCCGCGAATTTTTAAAGAGACTGGCGTTACGACATGCGATAAGAAAGTGGACTTGGGGATATTACACTCCATGCCGCATTTTCTGAGAATACCGTCGGTTACAGAGCTGGGCAACTCAAGTCAAAAAACGACCAACTCAACTCGATTTAATTTAATTCGTGAATGGAATCGAACTGAATGGAAAAAATTTTCAAAAATCATCGAATCGAGTTGAATAGAGTCGAACATTTTTACTAGGATCACTGAATTGAATTGAATTCATTCAATTTGAAAAAATCAAGAAATTCTTGTTGCAAGATCAATATACTAATAAAATCAAAAGAGATTGAGTTATGACTATAATTTATTTNAAAAAACGACCAACTCAACTCGATTTAATTTAATTCGTGAATGGAATCGAACTGAATGGAAAAAATTTTCAAAAATCATCGAATCGAGTTGAATAGAGTCGAACATTTTTACTAGGATCACTGAATTGAATTGAATTCATTCAATTTGAAAAAATCAAGAAATTCTTGTTGCAAGATCAATATACTAATAAAATCAAAAGAGATTGAGTTATGACTATAATTTATTTTATAAGTTTTCTTTAGGTCTTTTCTTCGAGGTATATATCTGTCTATCACCTGCTTAGTCATATCGCTATTTTCTTCCTTTATCTCCTGAAATGTAATCTTGATCTTCTTTAAATTACGAATAGTACTTTTTATTTTTTATAAACTTCATCCACATCATTAGTTCTTTTTATTTCTTTTTAATTGTCTATTCATTTCGTATTTGTTATCTGATTCGAGCAAAAAAAAGAAGGCTGAGAACTAGATTCTAACTCCTGTACTGTTTGTTCACAGTGATAAAATACCGGTTGATATCGCGCTGTTCGGTAGACCGTGCGGTAATTTCACATGTCCATTAAGTTAACCTCCTATTATACTCGGCGGTGACCGCTGCGGTAACCGGCTCTGACTTAGAAGATATATTATGATTCTCCACATCGTACCAAGCTTTCGCTGTTTTATGAACAACTTTAATTGAAAATGTTTTATAAGAAAACGAAAACTTATTGGAGGATCTAAATTTGTGTAATAGCCAGGGAGTAGGCAGCCAGGGCACGTGTCCCCCTGTGAGATTCCACTACAGTGTATATCTGATTAATAATATTCGAAGACTGACGTTTTAAATGAAAATTCAGACTAGTAAAGATGAAATTTTTTCTAGATCCCCACCCCTTACCAAAATTCTGGTTACGGCTCTCGTAATATCGCAGTACTTCTTTGTTGAATCAAGCATTGTAATCACAAGATAAATTACTCATGTATAATTATAAATATAAGTTAGTCAAATGAAAGATGAAAAAACACTTTGTAATGTGTAAAACAATTTCTTCTCGTTTACCACACTCTGCATTTTTTCTTGTGTACCTGAATTTGTTTCTACACACTAATATATGCAGACTCGCACAGTATGATCAGCAGAGTAAGAATACTGATGAATACGAATAAAAACTCTTATCTTTATTTCAGACCATAAAAACAAAAGAGACTTTTGGCCACGACTGTAAAAATAGTTTATCATCGCTTCGTGTATGGGTAAGATGTTTATTGTCATTTTTTTATCCCTTTCTTCTACCTACTCTTCATTGTTTCCTCTTTTCTGCTTATGTCTACAAAAATACTACACTGGTATATGTAGATGATGTATACAATTCCATATATGGAGTCTTTTGCTTATCGAAAAATAAAGATTATTTGCGTACCCGACATTGTTGAAAGGCTGCAACATGTATTGTTGAACAACCTGCAAGAAAATATTCCAAAATTTTTCTCTACCCTGAACGACAGTAAATGACTACCGTAACTATGCCGTATTTTCTCATTTACACAAGACCGTATTACAATCCGTTTATAGCAGCCGTAATTTAACGTTTCCGACCGCTTACTGCTCGTGCTGAATCACCTGGGGTTGTTAACACGCACTATGTATTGAAAAAAATGAGTATTTCATGTCGAAATTTTTAATAATAATTTTAAAACATAAGTTTACGTACAACAAGAGATTTCAATGAGAAAAAAGGAAAAAGATAGCAACAATTTTTTTGAAAACTTTGCTTAGTAAAGCTGCAGTGAATGGAACCAAACAAAAAAGTAAAGTTGACTTTCTCCCTTCTCTTTTTCTTTTTGTTAACAATCAAATACAAAACAACTATTTCCTCCTCTCTTCTTTCCCAGAATAATAAAGGAGAGAAGAGAAAAGAAAGACGAGCTCGTTGCACAAACGAGAGTATTTTTTATTGGCCTGTTTTGCCACATAATAACGAGTTTTCTTTCTTATTTTATATAAAATCACGGAGCGGAGATAGTTTTATATATCATCAGACTTCTTTTTCCCTTGTTTTTAATTTTCTTATCTGGATATCCCAAGTAAAAAATCTTGACTGCAAATCTTGATAAAAACTTACAACATTTCTCAAGTTTCAGTGCAGTTCCTTCAAGATCTTGTGCAGATTTATTGATATGTGACAAGATCTTGAGATGATATTGACTGTTAAGACTGTCGACAAGTTTTGTTACAGATTCTGTCTTCAAAAAAATCATCAGTGTGCTGAAAAGATTAATTTAATATTAGAAACACCAGTTTATTTTTCACCACTCCTGATATATTTAATCTTCCTAACAATTATTAGATTTATAAAAGCAAAAAGAACAAATTATATGAACAAATAACGCAGACATATGAAATTGTTAGTACACTCTCACCAAACCATTTTGATGATAAATCAGCTGAATTAACAGAGATGTCACCGTCCAAACTCGGATTCAGGCCAATCCAGGATTGGTCTAGGGGAAATTAAGATCTTAGTTCGACCTAGTCCAAACTCCGAACTCACTTTCGCCCAGCTTTTTTCTAGTCCAAACTAGAATCTCGATTTGAACTAGTCTAAAGTCAGATTAAAAAGAAAATCTTCAGCCCAATCCGAGATTGGACCGAATTTTATCAAGGCCAACCTAAGATTGAACTAGACAAAAGTCAGATTCATTTTACTTCAGGTCAAACTTAGATTAATCTCAGACTGAACTAGTTCAAACTTAGATTCATGTTGTCCTCATATCAAATTCAGATAACTTGTTGATCATTACAAGTTTTAATAAGGATAGATAAGAACTCTTGTACAACCTTCTGTTCGCATTTTACTGTAATTGTTTAATATGGGCGATAATTTACAGAATAGTGACATTGGAATATAATTTAACAACAGTTATTATTAATATTAGTAAATTTTACAGCAGCTAGTCGCCTTGATTTATTGTTAATTTACTGTCGACGTTTCGACTCTTCAACAATCATTTTCAGACAAATAAAACAATGGTAAAGACAATCACAGCTACATAGTCATTTTTGGGGTGTTTTGGACCTATAGTCCTGATCTGCAGAGAAACTTTTTTTTCGAAGTCTCACCAGAAAGTTGTTGACTATGCCAGTAGATTTTCTCTCAAATTTGGCGGATGCTTT